ATCATGAAAAACTATATGTCAACAAACTGGACAACCTAGAAGAAATGGCTAAATTCCTAGAAATATATAAACTACAAAACTGAAACAGGAAGAAATAGAAAATTAGAAAAGAGTGATTATTAGCAAAGAAATTGAGTCAATAATCAAAAAACTCCTAAAAAACAAAGTCCGGGACCAGATGGGTTTACAGGCAAATTCTACCAAATATTTAAAGAAGAGTTAATATTATTCTTCTCAAGCTATTCCAAAAAAATAGAAAAGGAAGGAAAACTTCAATTCATTCCATGAGGCCAGCATCACCCTGATACCAAAACCAGATAAACACACCACTAAAAAAAATTAACTACAGGCCAATATCTCTGCTGAACATAGATACAAAAATCCTCAACAAAATACTAGCAAACCGAATCCAACAATACATTAAAAAAATTATTCACCACGATCAAGTGGGTATTTATTCCTGGGTTGCAAGGGTGGCTGAATATTTGCAAATCAATCAGCGTGATACATCTTATCAATAAGAGAAAGGATAAGAACCATATGATCATTTCAATAGATGCAGAAAGAGCATTTTGACAAAGTACAACTCATGATAAAAAACCCTCAACAAAGTAGGTTTAGAGGGAACATACCTCAACATAATAAAGGCCATATCTGAAAAACCCACAGCGAACATCATCCTCAGTGGGGAAAAACTGAGAGCTTTTCCCCTGAGATCTAGAACAAGACAAGGATATCCACTCTCACTACTTTTACTCAGCATATTACTGGAAATCCACACCACAGCAGTCAGAAAAGAAAAAGGAATAAAAGGCATCCAAATTGGTAAAGAAGGCAAACACTATTTGCAGATAAATAACACCATATATAGAAAACCCAAAAGACTCCACCAAAAAACTACTATAACTGATAAATGAATTAGGTGAAGTTGCAGGATACAAAATCAATGTATGGAAATCTTGCATTTCTATACACCAATACTGAAGCAGCAGCAGGAGAAATTAAGAAAACAATCCCATTTACATTTGCACCAAAAATAATAAGATACCTAGGAATAAATCTAACCAAAGAGGTGAAAGACCTATACTCTGAAAACTATGAAACACTGATGAAAGAAACTGAAGATGACACAAAGAAAGGGAAAGACATTTCATGCTCATAGATTAGAAGAACAAATATTGTTAAAATGTCTATACTACCCAAAGCAATTCACACATTTAATGCACTCTCCATCAAAATCCCAACAGCGTTTTTCACAGGAGCAGAACAATCAATCCTAAAATTTGTATGGAACCACAAAAGACCCTGAGTAGCCAAAGCAATCTCAAAACAGAAAAGCAAAGCTGGAGATACAACAATTCTGGAGTTCAAGATGTATTACAAAACTGTAGTAATCAAAACAGTATTGTACTAGCACAAAACCAGATACACAGATCAATGGAACAGAATAGAAAGCCCAGAAATAAACCCGTAACTACATGGTCGATTAATCTTCGACAAAGCAGGAAAAAATATCCAATGGGAAAAAGACAGTCTCTTCAACAAAGGGTGTTGGGAAAACTGGACAGCTACATGCAAAGAATGAAACTGGACCACTTTCTTATACCATATGAAAAAATAAATTCAAAATGGATTAAAGACCTAAACGTGAGACCTAAAACCATAAAAATCCTAGAAAAGAACATGGGCAGTAACTTCTTGACATTAGCCGATGCAACTTTTTTTCTAGGTATGTTTCCTGAGGCAATGGAAACAAAAGCAAAAATAAACTATTGGGACTACATCTAAATAAAAAGCTTCTGCACAGCAAACAATCAACAAAACTAGAATGCAGCCTACTGAATGGGAGAATGTCATTTGCAAATGACATGTCCTATAAAGGGTTAGTATCCAAACTATATAAAGAACTTATACAACTCAACACCCACAAAACAAACCATCCAATTTGAAAGATGGGTAGAAGACATCAACAGACAGTTCTCCAACGAAGACATACAGATGGCCAAAAGACACATGAAAAGATCCTCAACATCACTTACCATCAGGACAATGCAAATCAAAACTATAATGAGATATCACCTCACACCTGTCAAAATGGCTAAAACCAACAACACAAGAAACAACAGGTGTTGGTGAGAATGTGGAGAAAAAGGAACCCTCTTGCACTGTTGGTGGGAATGCAAACTGGTGCAGCCAATCTGGAAAACAGTATGGAGATTCCTCAAAAAGTTAAACATACAACTGTCCTACAATCCAGTAATTTTTACTACTGGATACTTACCCCCAAAATACAAGAACTCTAATTCAAAGGGATACATGCCCCCCTATATTTATAGCAGCATTATTTATAATAGCCAAGATATGGAAGCAGCCCAAGTGTCCGTGATCAATGAATAAAAAGGGGTGGTATATATATACACACACATATATATATATACACAATGGATTACTGAACCATAAAAAAGAATGAAATCTTGCCATTTTCAAGGACATGGATGGAGCTAGAGAGTATCATGCTAAGCAAAATACATCAGTTAGAGAAAGACAAATACTGTATGATTTCACTCATATGTGGAATTTAAGAAACAAAACAAGCAAAGGGAAAAAATGAGAGAGACAAACCAAGAAACAGACTCTTAATTATGGAGAATAAAGATAGTTACCAGAGGGGAGGTGGGTAAGGGGATGGGTTAAACAGGGGATGGGGATTAAGGAGTGCACTTGTCCTGATGGGCACTGGGTGATGATATGGAAGTGCTGAATCACTATATCGTACACCTGAAACAAATACTACACTGTATGTTACCTAACTAGAATTAAAACAAAAACAAAGCCTTGTAAGAAAATAAAAAGGTTTCATATGAGAAAAATAAAATATATTGGTCTGATTTGAAAATGGGCAGGAATAAACTTTATTAAATAGATGCAAACTCTAACAATGCATTAAGTATGTCATGCTAGGAGATTAGAAAACTTTAAGGTAATTCACTCTTTTAATTAAAAGCAGCCCAGAAAACTGATGTTAAGGCAATTTTACATTCTTTATGTATAACTGCCAGAGGAACTACAAACTAAAGGAATCTGTACTCCTTTTGTTTTTATAAGTTAGACCCATCAACCTGTTTACATATCCCATTTCCAACCAAATCATTAATTGCTACATTAAGAAAACTTTTGGAAATCATTTTAAAGATTTAGTTAGGAAAAAAAATTAGCAAAAGAAATTTAGTTAAGAAAAAACTATGAATGAGACCATTCTAAAATCACTACTGAAGATACTCAAAACACTAGAACTAAGACAAGAGAAAGTTTTAAGGCCAAGTAAACCATACTTGATAATACTTTGATCTCCTTGCAATGGTGTAGATTTCCACTGTAAAATTCCATTTAAAAGACCACTTGTTAATGAAACTTGGCTCTACTTTAAGTAAGTACCGGCCTAAATTATCTTAAGTAGAATGTTAAGGTGATTGGGAAGAAATGAACAAAACAGAACGTAAGTAAAATGGGATTCTCCAAAATACTTTCTCCAAATATTTAAGGAAAGAAACAAAAAGCAAAAAATCACAAAAAAACCCAACAATATGAGAGCATTATGCTTTCCTTCATATTCCAAACCACCATGTTGTCAAGTAAATACTAAAATTTATTTTGTTCGGGGCGCCTGGGTGGCTCAGTTGGTTAAGCCTTCGGCTCAGGTCATGATCCTGGAGTCCCGGGATCGAGTCCCGCATCGGGCTCCCTGCTCGGCGGGGAGCCTGCTTCTCCCTCTGACCCTCCTCCCTCTCATGCTCTCTGTCTCTCATTCTCTCTGTCTCAAATAAATAAATAAAATCTTTAAAAAAAAATACAATTATTAAAATTTATTTTGTTCAAGTGGGGTGTCTGGCCTGACATTTCATCTTTTAAGTGCGTTGGCCAACAAAGCTTAGCAAAGTATAGTTCAGTTTACTTCATGTAATTTGGAAACTGGGGCAAAGAACATTTGCCAGATTTTCCTCTAATCATTCTTTCCTTTACTTACTTGTATGAGTTTCAAACAAAACTGATGGGGCAGCAATACATTCAACTGTCCAATAGGCATATTAACACAAAGGTGTCATTTCTCTCTCTGGGAGTTCTCCAGGGTTAAAACTCGTGTTTTCACTTTCCTTTTCACAGAAATCCTGTAGTGGCCCTAATGGAATAAGGGCAGCCTATCGGCCTTTACAACAAGGGATGAGGAGTATGAGTGATCACCAGCAGCCAAGGAGTTTGAAACCGAGCCCAGTGAGTGGGTCGAGGAAATCCAGCACGCCTACCGAGGGCGGATAAGTGTCCTCCACACCCCGGCCACAGGCAGAAGAACGTAGCCGGCTGCTGCGGCACCCCTACGAAGTCCTCGCCCACCTCTTCCTCGGGAAGGGACGTACCTGCCCAGCAAGGGGGGCGCGCACTCGATTCAGCTTGGCGGGGGAAAACCCACTTCTCAAACCCCATTCCCTTTCTCCATGGCCGAGCCCCAGGGGCCGTTACCTAACCGACCCGCTCCTCCGGCGACCTTTCGCCCAGGCCGGCCCAGCCCGACCCAGCCCAAGGCCAAAAGGCCGCGCTCCTGGGGAAGGCGTGTGCTCGGCCGCGGACGCCCAAGCCTCCCTGGCCCCGACCCCGCCACGGCCTCACGAGCCCGGAGCCCGGAGCCCCGCGCCCCGCGCCCCGCGGCGGACCGGCGGGCGCGCGGCGCTGGCTCAGGCCCGCCTCAGCCCCCTCGCCGCGCCCCCCCCACCACGCACCCCAAAGCCCCGCCTCCTGCCGTCCATCCCTCCATCCCTCCTCCATCCACCTCCTCCCCACTGCGGCGCCAGCTTCACCTGCCTCAGCCCGCCGCCGCCGCCGCCCGCCCGCTCCTTCCCTCGGGATAGCGCCGCGCCACGACCCCAGAGCGGCGCCCCCCACCCCAAGCTCCGCGCTCATCCTGGACGCGCCCTCTTTCTTCACCTGCCCCCGCCCCGAACCTCTACCTTGTAGGAGTCGGTGGCCAGGAGGATGTTGAACTCGGCGTCTGCCGCAGCATTCATCTCGGGCGGGAGTGCGCGGGCCACGCGCCGCGAGGTGCCCGGCGCGGCGGCGAGGAAGGAGAAAAATGGGCTTCGCCGCACTCCGTTGCTTAAGTCACTGCTCGGTCTGAGGGGCGGGGGAGAGGAGGGGAAAGCGGAGTGGGGAGGAGGGGCCACTGGAGGGCGGGCCCGGGAGCCGTGACGCGGCCGGGGGTGGTGGCGCCGGTAGCTCTCGAGCTCTCAGCCCAGGGACTCCGACCGACTCCTCACCTCGGCTCCCCGCCCCCGCCCCCGCCCCATCACCCCGGAGGGGACGCGAGGGGCGGGGCGCGGCCGCGCGTGCGCAGCGCGCGGGGGGCGGGGCTGGGCGGAGAGGACGTGAGGCACGCGATCTTTCTCCCGGACGCCCGCTCCGGGAAACCGGAGGCTTCCGGGCAGTCTCGGCCAGGGCCCGAGGGCCTGCCCCGATTTCATTTCCCGGCACGGCGGAGCGGAGAGGGGGGGTGGCGGGGGGAACCGGAGGCTTCCGGGCAGTCTCGGCCAGGGACCCGTGTCCCTGCCTCGGTTTCATTTCCCGGCACGGCGGAGCGGAGGTGGGCGGGGGAATTCCCAGCCTCGGCACTCCTGCGATTAGCCGGTTCGCCCGCCCGGCTGACACCTTCCTGCCCTACCCTGTCCTGGCTCGTTTTCTGAGTCCCCTGAAGTCATGCCACCCGGCTAGGGGCCGAGGAGCATTCCTCTGCCGGTCTCCCCATCCCGCTCGCGCACTCACCTTTGTCTCCGGCTGGGATTGAGGATCGAACCTTTTGCCTGCATCCCTCTTGTCCCTCCTGGTCCTAAGGCTCTCTTTAAAATCCGAAGAGCTGCGGTGAGGAAGAAGGTCTAAGGGTCCCCTTTGCTCTGCCGCATCGACTCCGCTTTCCTCCGCTGTGTGGCTGAGCTCTTGGATCCTTTGAATGATGTTTTGACTTTCCCGGAGAAAATTGCCTGCACGTGAAGGCAGGGGTTGACTTCAGTCCTCACAGATAATGAAAGTACGAGGCCTAATTGAATCTAGTAGTGCCGAGAAGTAAATGGCAACGGGCCAAGTTTCGACACGATGCAAAACTGATTTCATCATTGTTCTAATCGTTACGTCTTGGGAAATGGTTTGGTAACCTCCAAAGAAGAAGTAAGGGAAACGACGTCGAATGACTTCACTTCACCTAAGTGCCGACCATCCACTTACGCAATTCTCATACGTGATTGCATTTTTGCGTAAAACTAAGATTTCCTTTGTCCACATGGTCAGCGTAGCTGCTGCTGCTTTTTTTTTTTTTTTTTTTAATTCCAAGATTTAGGTTTTACAAGATACAAGTAGCCGGAAAAAAAGCGGTTCAATGACAACTGGCACAGGAACTTTATAGATTATTTTTAAAGTTAGTGAAAATCTCATTTTATCTGGGGGGTGGGGTGGGATGAGAAGGGGGACGCTGTGAATTGAGAGATTCATCACAACAAAACGGACACCTCTTCAGTTAAAAGCAAATTGGGTCCAGACTTGGAATAAGTACAGATTGGAATGTCTTGGAATAAGTACAGATTCTGGAGAGTCGCCTCCATCTAGAGTCCATACAGTCAAAGATTACGGAAGTGGTGAGATACCAAGGTAGTAATCGTACACTCACCAAGGTAGTAAATAATAATACATTTAGAATAATAGAATAAGAATAATTTTCAGCATAAAAGTTGAAAACAAAGAGGATTTTTTTTGGTTGACCCTGTGTTTACTGGGGGAAATTATTTTTTAAAACAAGTAGGTAAATCATTTAAAATTTTTTTTATTTTGGCAAATTTTATCAAGTCGTGCAGTGTGATTCAAAGAAGGAAGATGATCCTTTATGCTTCTCTTGATTTGGTGCTTTTTTCTTGATTTAACATTTCCATAACCAACCTTACTTAAATGACAAATTCTTTTGGCTTAGCTTCCTGGAATCCATGTATGTATAAATGACCATTGTTCTATGCTGCCTTATGCAGGAAAAAAAAAATGGGTTCTGATTACAAAATGGGCTTTGTTTATGGTAGCATTATCTTTAAAGCAAAATAAAATTTGATTTTGCTGTCTTTGAGGTGAAAAAGTTTAATATCAATACAAGCAAAAATGTTAATATTGCATTGACATTGTTTGTTAAATGTAGGAAAGTCACAAGGCCTGCACACATATTGACTTAAACCCTCATAGCTATCTCCAGAAGAGAGAACGTTAGAAAATCACCATTTGCCTAATAATCAGGCACACACTGTATGTAACTACCTACATGCTAAACACCGGACCATTTTGAATTAATTGGGCTTCAGTACGATACAAAATTAAGATTTCATTTTTAAGATGGCCTCCCTTGAAAGAGCTTAACAGCTAGCATTCAGTACGTTTAGTAGCATGTAAAAGTTTCTGAGAAACTGTTTCTCATGGGTAACCACACATGACAAATAATGTCAATACAAAGACTCAACTGGATCCCTCACTTTATTCAAAGCCCTGGGTTAAACTACCATTCCTACCAAATGGCCAGTCAAACAGGGTAAATTGGGCATCCAGCTCTTGATTTATATCCGCAGAGTACTATGAAAGCTTGCCACTCATATATTTGATCAGGCCAAGTGGGTGTTACTGCACCACTCCTGTTTTCCACACACTCTTCCAGACAGACTTTGGTACACGTTTGTATTTCAAAGTGGCCTCAGACATTCCAATCTGACCTGGCTTCACTTCAGTAAGAAACACAGTTTAAATAAATAAATAAATAAATAATAAATAAATAAATAAATAAATAAACAGGAAAAAACCCCTAGAGAAGTAGGCATGGGATTCCCCCATCTGCAACTCCTGACAATGGTCCTGTCCGTTGCCCTTTATAACTTCTAGTTTTACCAAGCAGCAACTACTGTCAGAAAGACAAATGTAAAAGAACTTTTTAATTAAACTTAGGCCTTTTTAAATTCAAACTTCCATGACACTTTGGGGACCTCTTAGAGTTGTAATTTCGCAAGGAAAAGGACTCATCTACGGAAAGATGTGGGTCTTCATGGATCTGATTGTCAGCGCTGCCCACCCTTGGCGCACTCTTTAATCACTCAGTCTGCTGGGCCCTCTGCAGTCACACAGAAACACAGAAAACTACTGAGTCTTCTGAAAATACAGAAGTGATAGCGTTAAGTGTAACCCACAAACAGGAAGGATTAGCACATGGACTTGGATTGTTCACCGTCATTGCCCGGCAAATGTCCTTGTGGTCTGACTGCTACACCCATTATATACCTGGACAGTGCTGGGTTCATCATCCGTCTGATGTTAAACCCTCCTCAAATCTTATATCCTGCAGGAAGTCTCCCTAGTCCGTATGCTGCATCAGTTTCCTCCTCTTTATTAGTTTTGTTTCCCTTTGTATCCAAACATAAATTTTTCTAATTCCAACCATATAAAGTGGGAAGTCATGGTAGAGAGCAAAAAGAAAAAAAGGTTTGAGTTCATTTTTAAAAGTGGGACAGATGTGCACAAGTTTAGATGCTCTGTGTGAGGATTTGGGTGTCATATTACTTATGCATTTTTCCGACGGTCACCTTAAGACTCGATAGCCAAAATCAATGACTGAGAGAATGAGACTGCTACAACTATAAAAACTGTTAAGATTTTTTAATGAAGTGTTTTCTGGAGTGTGGTTTGCTGATCACTCATGGTACATGAGATGTGTGTCAGTGGTACTCAGATAAACATTTCTCATTTCAATAATGATGTATTTATTTCTAATGGAATTGAGAAAAATATAACTAGCATGAAAGAGTCGATTTTTCTTGGGAATTAATACTGAGGATGAAGCCAAAGTAGGCGGACGCAGACCGGTGAAACTATTTTCCTTGCCTTTCCTAACTTATAACTGAGGATTTTCATATCCTCAATATAAGACTGGTTTTCTTGAAGAAAACTAAGCATGAAAGGCTACATGCTATATGATTTCATTTATATGAAATTCTAGACAGGCAAAACTATAGTGAAAGCAGATCCGTGATTGTTAAGGGAGGCAGATTGACTGTAAAGGGGCAAATGTGAGGGAACTTTTTGGGGTGATGGAAATGATAAATGGGGTAGTGATTATACAATTGTATACATTTGTGAAAATTCATTAAGTTCTATACTTAAAGTTGGTGAATTTTATCATATATAAATTGAATCTCCATAAAACTGAATTTTAAAAAAGACCAGTTTTCTTGAAACCATTTTAAATATTTTCCTGTTCTGTTTTCTTATGTTTCCATTTACACATTTTATTGTTTCCATCTTACTTTACATGATTTGGAGATGAGCACCATTTTACCCTCCTCAGAGAGGATAGTGTTGAAGCTGGTGAACATGTATAGAACGCTGATGTCAAAAGGAGTTTCCTGCTATTGAGTGGGAAGCAGGAAAAAAATTAATCCCAATGTGATTCAATTCGATAGGAATGTATACACATGTCCAAAGCAGCATTGGAGGACTTCAAGAAGAAATGCCATATTTATCCTCAGTCTTTTCCAAAGCAGCTATGAAATCACTGGGATCTGGTGTGAAGGGAGACAAAAAAATATTGGTAGTTACTCTGTTATCTGCAGCAAACTCAGCATGGGACTGTGAGGTCAATAGCAAGTTGCCTGTGAACATCACCCTGAACTGCAGGGACTAGTGCAGAGTAAGGCCCGAATAAAGACCTACGAGCGCTGCCCATGCCCAGGCCCTAGAGCGTTTCTGTACCAAGAAAGGCTCTACCTGTGAGACCTTCAATTGCAGGCTTGTATTCTGGGTCAGTACACCTGCCTTTCTAGTTCACTCACTGTCCTCCTAAACTTAGCTCTCAAGACCCAGCACCTGCCCGGATGACTTTCCTTTTCTCCTTATCAAGACCTAGTCTAGACCCCATTCCTTCATATTACCCACACCATCCCTGGCTCCATCATCTCCCAGCTGGTTACAAATCCTTACCTTTTCTGCTCTGAGAGTATCCAGGCTACTGAGCATTCATAGGAAACATCACACAGCCATGAATTTGCATCCACAGTAGGACGTGTAGGGCTTATCTTCCATTCCATTCCCTCTATTCGGCTTTCTTTCCCATTTTCCTCAGAGGTTATTTGAAATGTTTACCTCTCTCCTCAAACCTATTACCTCGAAACAACTCCCTCCCTCTCAGCAGATGGGGAGTCCCTTGTGTCGGTCAGACAAAGCAAGGCCACCAGCGGGAACTCCCTAAATGGTCCTAGCTACGACAGCACGTCTGTCTTATTCAGAGTGTAGCACCAGGCACATAGTAGGGGCTTAGCAAATAGTTACTGAATGAACGAAGGAGCAACTTCTATCAGCTTGTATTGTTCGCCTAAAATCACCATCTTTTTTCTATGTCCCTGTTGTGTTAAGCTCAGGCGTGATGATGGGAGTTGCTTTAGCCATGAAATGTGCACCCTGGGGATGAGCATCACTCCTAGCAGAAGCTCTAGGAGCTCGGGCATGGTTTGTCTTCTCTCTTTTCCTTCTGCCCCAGAGACTGCAGTGTTCCACATAGGGGCTGGTCCATGTGCCTAAATCCTGAAATGCAGACAACCCAGAACCAAATCAGGGCCAATTGGTGCTGGCCATGTAGTGTGAGTAAGAAATAAACCTTTCTTATTGTGAGCTGTGGAGATTTTAGAGGTTGCTACCACAAGCATAACCGGGTTTATCCTGACAGATACAGGCCTCCACACACTGTGTTTTCTTTTTTTCTCCAGGCTCAGGGAAAGAGGAGTCCCTTCTTCTGCCTCAGGTGAATCTCTTTCATCGGTGCTCTGGGTCCATCCCTCCCTGCCCACCCCCACTCAGTCTCCCCCGGTCCTGCTCAATTAGACATCACCCCTCTCTGTTCTGAACCTTTAAACACCCCCTTCCTGTTGACTTCTTCTTGGCATATAGACATATTTGGATTTCTCTCCTCTTAACAAAACTGAAAGAGCCAAACTTCCTTTTCCAGTTATCACGGTATCACTCTCTTTTTCCAGAAAAAGAGGTCTCTGCCTCCTGTCTCTGCTTTCTTTCCTCATCTCACCTACCTCAGTCTGTGTGGCACTGACCCTTTGGCCAGACAGGCTGGCAGACCCAATGGTTACATTTCACAGATATTGGCTAATAACCTCAGTAAAAAGAAAAAACAAAACACAAAAAAACCTTTCTTTTCTTCCTTTAACCATTATCCCTCTTGTGTTTCCCTCTGACCCCAGGGTGACAGCATTTTCTCCAAAGGAAGTCTGAA